AATCAACTTGGTACACGATGAGGTAACTAATTCACTTTATAACTTGCTTAATGCTCATTACCTTCAGGTTCTTGATGGAGTTTCCGTCTTCCGCGTTGAAACTGACTCTGCCTGGACAGATATGATGGACATCCAAATCACCGTTACCCCACCATCCAAGCCAAAGCAAAATCCATTCAACTCTATCTTCCGTCAGAAGAGACAAGATTACCGTGGACTTCCAGCTTGGTGTCAATGCGAGCCAACCAAGCCAACTTGCCCACCAGGACCTCCAGGACCACCAGGAGAGCCAGGACAGCCAGGTAATCGAAAGTTTCAATAAAACTATTTGTTATTTGAAACATTTACAGGAAACCCAGGACCCCCAGGACCACCAGGAGATGATAACACTTCTACCGAGCCTGGCTCGCCATGTCCCTTCGGCGACTACGGATGTGCTGTTTGCCCAGCAGGACCTCCAGGACGTAAAGGACCCGATGGTCCAGCTGGACCAGCTGGGCCAAATGGTCAACCAGGATATCCAGGACAACCAGGACGAGATGGAGCTCCAGGTCAACCTGGACCCAGTGGTGATGCTGGCAACCCAGGACATCCTGGGCAACCTGGACAGCCAGGAAGACCAGGCGAAGATGGCGTTCGTGGAGTAGGACAACCAGGACCAGCTGGACCTCCCGGACCTAGTGGACCAGCCGGAAATATGGGCAGACCTGGTGAACCAGGATTCGAAGGTGCACCAGGACCAGATGGACCAGCCGGACAGGATGGTCAACCCGGTCAAGATGGACAAGATGGACAACCAGGAGGCTCAGGAGGACCTGGAAGACCAGGAGATGATGCTGCTTACTGTAAATGCCCAGCTCGAACTGTAGCCATGCCATCCAGAGCACTTCATCGTTCAGGTTCTTCCCAATTGACCGGATATGCATAACAACAATTGTTTTTCTTGTCGATTTTCTTGTAAAATAGGAAATAAATCGCTCATTGAGAGAATTTCATATATGACCTTAACCGAGCAAAAATATTTCGATTTCATAAAAAAAGTTTTCAATGACCTAAATTGTTAACAAAAATTGAATTAATAATACTGTTATGCCGCCGGAAAAACAGATAACACAACCGCTTTGAGCGTTTCTAATAAAGGAAAATGAAAAAATCCCACGCATCATGCTTATGACGTGGTTTTACGTGGTAATAGTAATAAGGAAGTACAAATGTTTCTTCCTTTCTATCTTTCCAGAATGATTTGTGAGAGAGACGGTTTGACCCTCAAAAGACTTGAAACGAAGAAAATAACTTTAACCTATTTAAACCTGTGAAGGCCGATGGTGTAAGATTTTCTTTTGAATTATTCAATTTTCATATTAAATATAAACATAAACATCAATAATACCAAAACAATTTCGGTTTTAGTGATAAACTTAATTGAAATACTCAGGTTATTCATAAAAAATTATAAAATCTGTCAGATGGATGTGATGAAGGATGAGAAAGAGAAACGATTGTTAAACGCAATTGTACTCATTTCATCCTAATTAGGTCAAACAATCGCAATTTGTTACTTACAAAAAGAAATGCTGGCCTTGAAGCAACAGATTTCAATGAAGATAAAACATATTCTTCACTAATAAAGCTTACAAAATAATATGAGAAGTAATGAAAAGGAATAGAAAGCAAGGAAGAAAGGAAATAAGGAAGCTTCATCCCATTTTTTTTGCATCGTCTTCTTGATCATTGAAATGATCCCTTATTCAACTGGAATTATAACGACTTTTATAAAATATTCTTTTGAATTCAATGGATATATTTATCCTGTCAAATATTTAATTCATGAGTGGACGACAAGTCAAAACCGTTTTCTTTCAATAGTTAAAAAACCTGCTTTATACGGTCTGTTTCGGAGGTAACAACGAGTGTCTTCTGATTTCTTTTAAACTACTTAATGACATTTCAATCATCAAAAATGTCACTTTTAAGCTTCAAACAGATGATTTTTGCTTTTTAAAAAAAAAAGTCTTTGGAACATCCGCTTCGTTCAGATGAAAATGTTCGCTCGACAACGAAGGATTTCTCAGATCATCTACTTTGAAGGACAAAAATTTTATGATGAAAATGATTGTGACAAATGAGGTGGTAAAGAGGAACAGAAGCAGAAGCCAGTTTTACTTCTCAGAACTATTTCATTCTTTTGAGTTTGAAAAAAAAAAAATTTTTGTCCCTCTCAACAGAACCTTATTGTCTGTGAAAGTTCAAGAGACACACATCTTCAAGGAATTGACGTTTTTTCATACAAGAATTTTCATTAAAATTATTGGCCAAAACTGGTTAAAAGAGGCAAATTGTCATTTTGTTCTTCTTTTTATTTGATTTTTTAAATATTTTCTTTAATTCTATAATTAAAAACAGATGAACATTCTTTTGTTTTTATTTTTTCGCGAGTATTTCTTCATCTGCGCCTTGTAGTTAACACAATTATCATTTAAAAGTGAAACAAGTAGTTCACTAGCCATCATCTGATGTAATATTTCTGACATTCCAAATGATGTTTATGATCAAATAAATAATTAGAAAAAAAGTTAATTTTTTCCACAAATTCCTCCAAAATCGCTCTCACCAACTGCATTTTTACGACATTTCAATTTCCATTTTTTTTGTGTGAATCTCTACCTAAAAGGGGCGTGGCAAACGATGCACACATGCCGCTGGTAGGAGGGGTCGACGAACCATTTACGTCATCAAACGGCGTCCAAGGGCTTTATAAGGAGCCATGGACAGTACAGACACATCATCGAACCTTAACGATGTTCGAGGAAAAACTTCTTGTCGGCGTTGCCTCCGCCTGCTCCACTTTGGCTATTGTTGCCTGTCTTATCGTTCTTCCAAGCCTCTACAACGAAATCAACTTGGTACACGATGAGGTAACTAATTCAC